TTAGGGTTTAGGGTTTTAAGGCTTACCTTAAGGGATCTTGAGGGCTCCTATAAGGCTTGAAGGTTTCCTTTAGAGGTTCCTGTTAAAGGGTTCCTAGAAGCGTTCCTTTTTCAGGGTTACCGTAAGGCTCCTGTAAGGGTTTTCTTTGGGGTCGGGCTCTCCTATGGGGGCGACAACTCTTCTTCCGTGCGTTTTCGGCAGTTTAGGGGGTTCAGGGCTTAGAGAACTGCTCAACTTGAACCCTTATAGTACCCTTATAGAANNATAGAAATCCTTATAGATCCCTTTAAAGGAACCCTAAAATTAGGGTCTTGGTGTTGTGATGGTTTCAGGTTCAGGGTGGCTTCAGGGAATGGCGGCCAGTGCGGGTTTAGGGGTTTAGGGATTTGAAGGCCTTAGGGCTTGCCATGTGGATCGCTTTACGCTAGCTGTTGTCACAGCTGGTTGCTTTGGAGCGCCCGAAACCTGAACAGCTTCAAGGGTGGACTTTGACTTCAGGCTTGGGGGCAAAGGGCATTTCATGTCGGGTGGCGAAGCAGAATTTGAGAAGATTTGAGCTACAAGCCCCCTTCTGAAAGGTGTGATTGCATAGGCGGCATAGGTTCGAAAGCATCTTTCAATACACCACCATCGAAAGCACATCACATGTCCTTGGTTTTGTAAGTAACTCGGAAAGCTTCATTGTTGTGCTGGGGCTGAGCGTGCAGAGCAAAACCCGTCTGCAGGCGTTTTGAGAGCGAAGATCAGATGCACAGCGCTTGCCTGGCCCTCATGTTCTGAACTTTAGGGTGTAGGGTTTTGCTTTTGTTATACCTGCTTGTGACCCCAATCCCGACGGTACACCCGAGTTATCTTGAGGCAACTACGTTTGAGTTGTTTCCTGCTCCTGTATGTCTCTGTGTGTTTTCCGAGTGATGTACGCGAGAAAGGACCGATCTGGAGGTTTTTGAACACCTTCGTTGGGACGACGAAGTTCCAGGAGTTCGAACCCCGAGTGCGAAATCAAAAACTTGTGCATCTCGTCGTAGAAGAAGGACGAAGTAGCGGGAGAGGAAAGTAGTAACAGTCGGAGGATGCAGAGGCGAATGGCAGAGGAAGACGAGCGACAATTATGAGATGGTACCGTTCAGCCACGGTCATAGCCAGCCAATGCATGCAAGAAAGCAGAAACACAACACCATGAACACCCCGAGTCAACAAATTCACACCTTGAGGCCATGATCTCCCTTTCACCATAAAGCCCGAGATTCTCAAGCTTCGAAGTTTGAATAACCAATGCCAAACTGCAGGCACGTGGAACTGCTCTGTGAAACGGGCAGCGCCTTTCTACGAGAAACGGCGGCTGCATGAGCCTGCAGCCGAGAACGGAGTTTGTGTGGATGTAGAGTTGCGGGATTTAAGGGTTCTTTGCTGTGTGTCCGGCGTCGTAGTACCTGCTACTCTAGCGCTGCTACAACTGCTGTACTGCTGTTGCTGCCATTGCTGCTGCTACTGCTGCTACTGCCAGCTACTGCCACTGCCACAGCCACTGCCGCTGCTACTTTTGCTGCTACTGCGACTACTGCTACTGCTACTGCGAGGACGAGGACGACGACTACTACTACGTTGTATGTCCACTACTACTACTACTACTACTACTACTACTACTACTACTACTACTACTAGCCAGCGGCGTGTTTGCCGTACCCGTGAAATCGGCTACTCGGGACTCGGGGGGGGGGGATAATAACGAAGCTGAACCATATCCCCAAACAAGCCTTTCCTCCTCGCAATCCCAAAAGCAGCCCGAAGCCTTGAACCCAGTTCAATCGTGCGATCGCCCGAAGCAGTTCAATCCCAAGGCTTCAGCCTTATATCCCACA